GAGGGAGGGAATGAGGGAGAAGCAGGTGGGCAAACACATGTCAGTCTGGGGTAGGGATTCCCAACGACAGGTCTACTGTTTTCCCAGAGTATCTGTCTCTGTACCCCCCGACCCCACCCCCAGTTTCTTGCATGTCAAGCACTGAACAATTGTTGAATGAATAAATGAAAAAAAACTTTAAGAAATAGCAGGGCTGGGGATGTAGCTCAGTTGGCAGAGTGCCTAGCATGCATGAAGCCCTGGGTTCCAACTCCAGCACCACATAAACCAGGTATGCTGGCATACACTAGTAATTCCAGTACTCACGAGGCAAAGGCAGAAGATCATAAATTCAAGGTTATTCTCAACTATATATCAAATATGAGGTCAGCCTGGGCTCCAGGAGATCCTGACTTTCGGGGGGAAAAAAAGGGTCTAGAGAGATGGCTCGGCAGTTAGGAGCACTTGATGCTCTTGTAGAGGCCCAGGCTCCATTAACAACACCCACAGAGGCTTACAACTGTCTGTAACTATAGTTTGGGATCATTCAACACTTTTTTTTGGCCTGGAGGGAGGGGCACCAAGCACCCACATGCACATGGTGCACAAATATACATACAGACAGAACACTTATACCAGCCAGGTGTGGTGGCACACGCCTTTAGTCCCTGCTCTGGGGAGGCAAAGGCATGAGGATCTCTGTGAGATTGATGAGGCCAATCTGGCAGTCCGGTCTACAAACTTACTTCCAGGCCAGCTGGGGGTCCAGGGAGACCTTGTCTCAAAAAGATGGAGGTGGGGAGGAGACTCACATATATATATAAATTTTAAAAATATAAAAATTAAATAGGGGGCTGGAGAGATGGCTCAGTGGTTAAGAGCACTGACTGGTCTTGCAGAAGACCTGGGTTTGAATCCCAGCACCACATGGCAGCTAACAACTGTCTGAAACTCCAGTTCCAGGGACTCTGACAACCTCTCTGTCTTCTGCGGGCATTGCACGACACGGGTGCACTTACTTAAATGCAGGCATAACACTCATGTACATAAAATAAAAAATAACAAATAAAAGGGTTTTTTTTTTTTTGGTCTTTTTGAGACAGGGTCTCCCTGTAGCCCCAGCTGTCCTGGATTCACTATGGAGACCAGGCTGGCCTCAAACTCACAGAGATCTGCCTGACTCTGCCTCCCGAGTGACAGGTGTGCGCTACCATGCCCAGCTTACAAATAAAAGTATTTTTTTAAAAAATTAAATAGTACTTTTCCAAAACGAAAGGATCACTTAGGGTATTTACCAAGGAATTTGTGGCCCGTGAGCTACTTGGGACATGCAGAGAAAGGAGCTGATGTGGCTAGTTCAGTCTCTTGTTTACCCTGGGTTTGTTCCTGCTTCCTTTAACTACCACCCAGTCTTCAGCATGCCGTAAAAAATCTGTACAACCGCATCACCGAGAAAAAGCAACAAAAAAGAGCATGGTCTAAAATTACATCTCAATGCAGGAGCATCCTTCAAAGGCTAGATTTGCATTTCTGCTTCATGTGCTAGGAAAGGCTTTTTCTTGAAGGATCTATCACCAAAGAACAGTTAGTTAGTTGCTAACCAGAAAAAGTCATCTTAATTGAAAAGTGACAACCTGGCAATGACCAATTGCCAAGGACCAGAAAGTAGAGAATCAAGCACTGCTCTGTCTACAGCATGCACAGGCCAGAGCAGCTTTCTTCCTCAGAGGATCCTTTCTAGAGATTTCAAGCCAGCAGGCCTAGGCTAATTTAAATTTTTGGCTCAGCTCTAAAACAGTGCTAAAATAATTTCCCAAGAACAAAACTTCATATTATTCCCTAGGCAAAATTTTAGATTCATTTTTTAAAAATGTGACAATAGTGATGTTTCAGATGTGCCCAGATTTAGAAAAACAAGATTATGGCTAAAATAATGAGTCTGCTTATGTCCCTATACTGATTTAAAATATGCAATGCTTTAACTCTCACTCACTGGCGCCCTACAGCATGGGCCTAATCTCATTATCACGAACAGTTATTTTTCAAATATCTGAAGACAGCATGGATAGGCCTCTCTCTCCCCACCATCTACCTCTTCCCTCACTATTTCAGGTGAGATTTCAGCCTGAATCCTCTCAAGCCTATCTTCTTCTCTGGACACACCATGAGCAGTCACTTTGTTAAACTGCCAGTCATAACTGAACATGCTCGCACAGCATGTACTGTCCAACATATATGCTGTCTCTGTACTAGCTGCCCTCCTACTTTATACAGCTTGTGCAATGAAATATGAGCAGAAACATCCCAACTCTAGCAGACCTCTAAGAGCTACCCTATGGTTTAACATCCTTCTGTCTCCCAGATCCCAGGACAGAACACAGAGCAGAGCCCATAGAGCCCACA